AGCTATATGCAAACTCTTTCCTGAGTAGGCCTTCTGCACAGCATCTCTCTGCTTTCCTCTGGTGGACAGGGGTGAGCCTTGAAGAAACTCAGGGACCACCATCACCTGCTGCATTAGTCTGTTTTTGTTCCTTATAATAAAATACCTGGAACTGGGTAATTTATAAGAAAATGAAATTTATTGCTTACAGTTTCAGAGTCTGGGAAGTCCAAAGTCCAGGGAACACATCTGGTGAGGGTTTTCTTTGGTGGTGGCTTTACAGCAATGCAGGGGTCTCACATGGCAGAAAATGGCGGAGCAGAGAGACAGAGACTCACATGTGCTCTCCTTTTAAAGCCCTCAGAACCATGCCCCGGACCACCATTATTAATCCGTTCACTACGGCATGGTCCTAATTATCTCTTCAAGTTCCACCTTTCAATTACCATAATAGGACTTCCCAGCCTCTTAACAGTCACAGTAGGGACAAGCCTCCAACACATTAAACTTTTGGGGGACACAGTTCAAACCATAATATCTGCACTTAAAGCCTAGATTAGACCTAGCCTCAGAGGCCAATTTTTGTGGCCTTTCTCCTGAATCTCACCCTGATCTCATTCAAAGACCAAAGATTCCCCCCGAAACAGACAACATCCGTTGCTCTAAAACCTAGTACCCAGAATGCCTCAGAGGAGGGAGAGTGAGTGAGGGACTTTCATAACCCTTTCCTTCCATCCCTCCCCCAAATTTCTAACTCCCAGGCCAGGAGAGGGGGTGGGTGAGGCATTGTTCTAAGAGGACCCCATTGTGTGTTTGATGAATACCATGGCCCCTCCTTCAGGAGTCTGGGAAGGAGAATGGAGAGTGGGTGGCCAACAGACAGTACTTTTCTTTTTTTCTGGCAAATAATCCAGAAAATGGATAATTCCCACAAACATAATCAAGTTAGCAATCCATGTGTAATTTGGCAGTATGCTTGCTAGTCCAATAATGACTTAAATTGTTTGTGGGATTTTTAAGGGAAAATTTACTTAGTCATTTTAATAAGGATATTCCTTAGAGACAAATTTTTCAAAGAATGTACAAGCAGGGCCGGCCCCGTGGTGCACTCGGGAGAGTGCGGCACTTGGGAGCGCAGCGGCACTCCCACCGCGGGTTCGGATCCTATATAGGGATGGCCGGTGCACTCACTGGCTGAGCGCGGTGTGGGCGACACCAAGCCAAGGGTTGCGATCCCCTTACCGGTCACAAAAAATAAATAAAGAAATAAAGAATGTACAAGCAAATAAGACTAAGGTCAAAGTATTATCTTCAGGTCTCTGTCATAAAAGCTGTTCAGAGTACATTATCTCCCCTTCAATGATCCAGCTGCCATATGCACACATGCATTCTCTCTCTCTCACATGCATGCACACACACATTCAACCATCTCAACCATACACACACATCCATTCAGATAGACACTCATGCACACATACTTCCTCCTAGTATTTCCCAATTGCCCAGGAATTCTCCCAGGCCTTCTTCTGCATGCTTCCCTGCTCTCCACATGCAGACGTCATTCTACTTGCATGGTCGCAGCACTGGAATCATTGCATGCTGTCCAACTAGGCCATTAGTATCAGTCCCTATGCACAAGTTGGTATCCCAGCTCCAGCACTAGCTCTCTATGTGACTTTTGGCAAATTAACTTCTCTGAGCCTCTGTTTCTACATCCAAAACTGGCATAATAATGGTATCTATCTCATGGTCATTGTTGAGCATCAACTATGCACCTGATACTGTTCTGGGTGCCAGCAATGAAAAGAAAAAGCAATGGAAAAAAGATGAAATTCCCACTCGTGGGAACTTTGCCTTCTAGTGGGTAGAAAATGAGTCTCAAACAAAAAAATAGGTTAATTTCAGAAAAGTACAATTAAAAGTAAAACACGGTAATATGATAGAAATTTAGGGGGAAGATGTGGTAGGTGGCTTCAAAGAGGACCACCAATGATCCTTGCCTGCTGATTTCAGGCCCTTGTGCAGTCTTCTCCACATTGAATAGGCTTGCACCAAGGTAAGCAATAGGATACTGTGGAAACGGCAGCTATGACTTCTGAGGAAAGATCATAAAAGACATTGCAGCTGCCAGGCTACTCTCTCGGGTCATTCACTTTGGGGAAGCCAGCTGCCATGTTGTGAAGACATTCAAGCAGTCTCATGGACAGTCCTATGGTGAGGAGGTGCTGAATGAGTCCTCTAGCCAACCAGTGCTGACCAGCCATGTTGAAAGAGGTCCTCTAACTCCAGGCAAGGCTTCGGATGACTGTAATCCCAGCAAACTCATAAAAGATTCCAAGCCAGAGCCACCCAGCCAAACTGCTCAGGAATTTCTGGCCCACAGAAACTGTGACACTATAAATTTTTATTGCTGTTTTAAGCTACTCAGATTTGAAGTAATTTGTTACACAGCAACAGATAACGCATACAGGGAGCTTTGGATAGGATAAGGGAAGGCTTCACTGAGCTTCATTAAGCTTGGGTTACTGCAAGGATTAAATAAAGTGTACAAAGTGCTTATCACAGGCTCAGGCTTCTGAACATGCTCGGTAAACCTTAGCTATGGTCATTTTTATTATTTGTGGTGAAATTAATCTTCATCCAACACTGTCCTACTACAGATGAGGACCTTGGGATCGAGAGAACCTCAGACATTTGCCCATATCATACAAAGCTAGCATCAGCCAAGCTACATCTGAGCCCAGACCTCCTAGCTTCCACTAGACCCTAAGCCAGACCTCTTTCTTCTGATGCAGTGTGTCGCTCCCTTCCTTGCACAAAAAGCTGCTGGAGTGAGGGCACGATACATCTGCACCCAGATTCAGACTCTACCGAGTCTGCTTGGCCACTCCTGCACATGTGGACAGAGCAGGGAACAAAGAGAACATGGATGTGGCCTGTGCAGGAGCAGCTATCCCACGACTTGCCCAAGAGGACCCCTTCAGAAAGCAATGGCCATGGCCAGATGAGCATTTCTGAATTTCTGTGCAAAGTGCTCTTCTTTCCTAATTGCTGTTAAGAACCCAACAGCTGTTTTCAATATTTTGATGCTAATCACCTGAAAGGCTGTGGGGAGAAGGAAAGAGAGAAAGGCAGATTGTCTACAAAGCCCATGAGCCTATCGTGCCTCAGTTCAAAGGATCTTAGAACAGGCTGGTTCCCATATGCTGCTGTTCTCACTTTTCCCTCGGGTCAAGGATGCAGCCCACTTTCCTCTTGGTGGCCACCACAGTCATTCTTTCCTGGGCATTCTCTCCTCCCCTCCACCCCCATGACCAGCTGTGAAGTCCCACATGTCCCACATCTTCCCTCCTTCCTTGTATCCCTCAAAGATAAACTCACAGGCCCTGCTTGTTATAAGGAGTTCACTGCTAGTCACTATAGAGAAATAGACAACAAAATAACCAAAGTGGGAGAAATTACAAAACTACAGAATCTTTTGATGTTACTACACCACTCCTTTACTTAAAACTTTGAGTCACTCTGCATCACCTGCAGAACAAATCCCAAACTCTTAAAGGAGGCACGTAAAGTTCTTCAAGATTTTGCCTGGGTTCAAATCCCTATTCTGCACTTGCCAGCCATGTGTCCTTGAGTGGGTTACTTAATCTCTTTGTGCCTTCTTTTCTTCTAATGTAAAAAAGATAATAATAATATAGGTTGTTGTGAGAATTAAATAAGTTAATACATATAAAACCTTAGATTCATATCTGGCACACAGGAAGTGTTCTATAAATGTTATCTGTCACTATTATGATGATGATGATAAACACCTCTGCAAACTTCTCTACTACTCCTTGCCTGCTGTGGATCAAATGTGTCCCCGTAAAGTTCATGTATTGGAGGCTTGATCTCCACTGTGACAGTGTTAAGAGGGTGGGAAATCCTATTATGATCATTGAAAGGTGAGGCCTTTAAGAGCTGATTAGATTGTGAGGACTGTACCCTTGTGAATGGATTGATCCATCGATGGTTTAATGGTTGGTTATGAGTGTGGTTCTGATGGCTTTATCTGATGGAAAGTGAGTGAGAAACTTAGCTCTCTTGCTCAGCCCATTTTCGCCATGTGATACTCCAGTCTACACAGGACTCTCTAGAATTCCCACACAGAAGGCCCTCACCAAATGTGTTCCCTAGACTTTTGGACTTCCCAGCCTCCAAAACTATAAGCAATAAATTCTATTTCTTTATAAATTCATGCTGTGGATTGAATGCCCCACCCCCAAACTCACTGAAGCTTGACTTGTGTCTCCCAAGTTTTATGTATTAGGAACTTGGCCCCCACTGTGACTATTGGGAGGGTGGGAAATCCTATTATGGTAATTGAAGGGTGGGGCCTTGGGGAGACAATCAGATTGTGGTCAGGTGTGTGGTTCTGAGGGCTTTAAAAAAAGAATGACTGAGGAGGTCAGTCTCTCTCTCTGCTCCACCATTTTTGCAATGTGATATGCTGCCGTCACTGTCGCCACCACCAAGGCTTTCACCAGCTGTGTTCTCTGGACTTAGGACTTCCCAGCTTCTGAAACAGTAAGTAATAAATTTCATTTTCTTTATAAATTACCCAGTTCCATATTTTGTTATAAGCAACAGAAATGGACTAATTCAATTACCCAGTTTCAAGTATTCTATTATAACCAACAGAAATAGGCTGATACACTGCCTTACACCTGCTTGAAAATCCCTGACATATGTACTATGCTGTTTATCACCTCCATGTTTTCTTGCTCTATTCCCCTGTACCTAAACAACCTTCACCTTCCCCCATGTCCAGCTCACACTAGGTCTTTAGAGAGAATTCTACTCAAGCAAAACTTTTGGGAGAAGCATTCCATGACCAACCTGTCATTGCCACAGGCTGCCTCAGGTAGCCCTCTTCTCTGCTCCTACAGCATCCTAGGCATATCTTCATCATTACCTAAGAATATATGTGTGTATTTCAATTATCTATAGCTGTGTAATGACCTACCCCAAAACTTCATGGGTTAAAACAACAGCCATTTTATTTGCTCACAATTCTATGGGTCAAGAATTTAGGCAAGGCTTTGTGGGTGGTTCTGCTACACGTGGCGTAGGCTAAGGTCATCCACTCAGCTGCATTCAGCTAGTAGTAGAGCTAAATGGAAGACCCTGGAAGGTTTCAATCACAGGTCAGTGCCTTGGTGCTCCACTCACACTCTCACTCCATGGGGCTAGCTTGGGCTTCCTCATAGCATGGTGGTCTCCTTACAAAGTCAGGCTTCTTACAAAGTGGAAAATGCTCCTTACAAGAAGCATTTTAGGAGTGCCAAAAGCAGAAGCTGCAGTTCTCTTAAGACTCAGTCTCATAAGTTACACAACATTGCTTCCATCACATTCTATTGGTCATAGCTAGTGACAGGGACAGCCCAAATTCAAGGGAAGGAGTAGGAAGGATTTGTGGCTATCTTGAAGTCATCACCACAGGTCCTTCTCCCAGCATGATTCCGAGCTCCTGGAAGGCAAGAACAGAATTCTGTTAGTCTTGGTATTCCCGGCACCTAATTGGGAATAGTGCCTGGTATGGAGATATGGAGTAGTGCTTAACAGGTGGTTGTTGGACTGAACTCCAGAAACACAGGAAAGCTCCAGAGGAGGGTGAGCTGTCCTAACAAAACCCCCGAGGCAGCTCCCTGGGAGCTGCCAAAGCTTCCCCGCCCACGACCTCTGCTTTTTGTCAAATCCATCTTCAGTTCATTCCTGGCACAACAAGGTATGCCAGCCATGCCAAAGTCACTAATCAAGACCAGTGTCTCTAACTGGCTTTAACACACTTAAAGGGCAGAAGCAGAAGAAGTTACTGTAGTTGGAATGTTCTACATACCTATCTAAAGAACAGAGGAAATAAGATATGTATCTGTGTAAACACTTCCAGCCCTAACGCTCTGGGGATCAGCAGCTCCCCAACCAAGAGGACGTTCAAGTCTCCTTATTTGGGGAAAAACCCTCCCCCAAACCTCATGCAAACAGCGGTACAAGCCAGTAGCTAGACCATGAGGCTCACTTCTAAATTCCCTAGAGAAAGTCTTGTTGTTTTTGTCCATGGCTCATGGCAGCAGCCTGAGATTACTCCAAGAATGCCAACCTCCCAAGACCAGGCGCCAGGGGCAGAGCCATGAGAGGTGAGCGTGTGAGGGTGAGTCACGCCAGACCACCAGCAACTGTCTGTGGAGAGAATGTCCGTGCCTCATCTACAGCAGCACTGGTACAGGCATCCAATTTTTAATGAGCAAACCATTGAGAGGAAAACAAATACAACTTTAAAATATCAAAGTAAGCAGGTTTGCTTCTTTTTCTTGGTGTCCACATGTCCTTGCCGATGGGGTGGATTGGCTCCATTCCTAACCTGGGATCTCAAACAGCTGGAGGTTCCTGGGGCAAATGACTACACATGAGTCCACCTGACACCCAACAGAAGTAGAGAAGCAGCTCTCCTTCCCTCACTGGAGCTGGGGACAACCTGCAGATGCTAGCCAGCCTAAAGAGAATCACTTACACAATTAGGAGTGTTCCAAATGCATGAAAAAGTGACCCACTTAGCAACACTCTGAAATCCTAAGAGTGAAAAATATTGCCCAAGTCACTATGTTGTCTCCTTATGAGGCAACCAAAGGCACAGAAGACACTTCAGGGAGCAGGGAGCGGAAAGTTCCTTCACACTGTGAACCAGGCAGAGACCTGGCAGCTGTACCATGTGGGAGGCTAGCTGCGGGTGGGTCCAGTTCCCCAGGCCACCAGTTTCCTTTTTCAGTGTTCTTCATTTCTCCTCAGAAACTAGGCTATAAAGCAAATATCCCATGCCACACACCCAGGTTTCCAACCAACAGATATCTAGCGAGCACCTTCCACATACCAGGCCCCATTCCAGGTGCTGGAGACAGCAAACAACCTAAGAGGTGAGGTGTCTGTTATCCTCGAAGTTTCCAACAAACAGATAAAAAGACAACTTCAGATCACAATAAAGTATAATTAGGAGAGTGACAAGTGTAATAGAGAATGTATTCAGGTAGAGATGCTCCTCAGGGAAGGTGACATTTGGAGCTGGGCCTTCGGTGACGACACAAGGAGAGCCATCACCTGGGAGAGAACAGCCCCAGGCAGAAGGAACAGAAAAGCACACAGTCAGAAGTAGTCTGGTGTCTTTGAGGAACAGAAAGGAAGCCAAAGGGAATATAAGAAACAAAGCATGAGACAAAGTGGAGCTACATCATGCAGGGCCTGGTATGTCACAGTAAAGAATGTGGATTTGGTTTTACTCCATATTTCGCCTAAAGCATTACTACCCCTAGTTCTTTAGCATTACAATGCTTCATTTATCAGAGACTGTGATGTTCCAAAGCAATGGTCCTCAGACCAACAACATCAGCCTAACTCTGGGAATTTGTTAAAAATGCAAAGTTTCAGTCCCATCACAGACCTGCTGAATCAAAAACTCTGGAGGTGGGGTCCAGCAATCTGCATTTAATAAGCACTACAGGTGATTCTGATGCATGGTGAAGTTTGAGAACCACTGGTCCAGAAAAAAGGATTTCCTAGATTGCTGGAACTTCCTTAAGTATAACGCTTATTAAAGAAAACAAGGAAATGTGTAATATATATTTTAGTGTGGTTTCTATCTAAAAGAATGGAAATAAACAGTACATAGATTCTGACTGACCTTTGTGGACAACTCATGACCGTCATTATGTGAGCTGATACACAATGATGCTCTTAGGGTTTAAAAAAGCAGCTACAGCTAGTTGTCCCCGCACTTCATGGCCCAAGGTGGATATTCTTTTTGGTTACTTGTGCATGCTTTTTGTAGCTGCTCTATAGATTTCTTCTAAAGCATTCACTTTACTTAACGAACTTTATTTACTTAATAAATATTTTAATTTTTACTGTATTTATTATTAAGGGTTACTATATGTCAGGAACTGTGCTCCAACAGCACTATAAGCAGCTATTATCACCATTTTCAAAAAAAAGAAAATGGGCTCTAAGAGATGAAGTCATTTGTCCAAGTACACATGGCTAGTAAAGGGCAAGGCTGGTATTCAAACCCAAGCATGTTAGTTACCTACTTCTGAGTAACAGATGATTCCAAACTAAGCAGCTTAAAATGACAAACATTTATTACCTGACATAGTGGCTGAGATCCAGGGATCCAGGAGTGGCTTAGTTTTGTGGTTCTGTCTCAGGGTGTTGCACAAGGTTGCGTCCAGCTGCAGTCATCTAAAGGGCTAGAGAATCCACCTCCATGCTCATTTACATTGCTGTTGGCAGCAAGCTGCAGATCACTGCCATGCAGACTTCATCATAGAGCAGCTCATGACATGGCAACAGGACTCCTCTGGAGCAAGTGACAAGAGAAAGAGAGAGCAACCAGACTGGAAGCAACAATGTCTTTTATAACCTGATTTTAGAAGTAACATACCATCACTGCTGCTGTATTCTTCTGGTCACATAGACCAACCCTAGCACAATGTATGAGGGAACTACATGAAGGTATGAATATCAAGAGGTGGAATCACTGGGGCCATCTTGGAGGATGGCTACCTTACCAAGTATGTCTCACTTTGAAACAAAAATCACTTTATTCCTTCTATAAATATTGAATGATTAGTAATTTCCAGATGCTGCCCTGGACTCTGGGTATTGTTGGTAAACAAAACAAACATTACACTTACCCTCCTGGAGCTTATAATCTACTAAGTAAATTTGTTTTTTTTTCCTTTTTGTCTTTTTTACTGACCGGTAACGGGATCGCAACCCTCGGTGTCGCACCCGTACCGGGGACCGGCAACGGGATCGCAACCCTCAGTGTCGCGCCCACACCGCGCTCAGCCAGTGAGCGGGAACCGGTCTCCACATGGGATCGGAACCCTCGGCGGGAGCACCGCCGTGCTCCCAGGCGGTGCACTCTCCAGTGTGCCACCGGGCCGGCCCCTAAGTAAATTTTTTTAAAAAATAAGTAAATATATAATTATAATTTGTGATAAATACTATGAACCCAATAAACACAGTATAGTGGGGGAAAAAAAGCAGGTGGGGTGGGAGATAAAGACCCACTTATCCAAAGGGGTAAAGCTTTGCAAGAGGTAACCTTAAATAATTGTCTCCAAACTTTTTGGATGAATCAATAAAAAAATTTTGAGCAATCCCTCCAAGAACACATATTTAAATGTTAATTATGTGTGCATATACATATATGCATATATACACACAATATAGACATTATATACTTAATATTACATAGAAAAAATGGATGCTCTATAAAATACAAACATATATAATATGTAGAAAAAGTAAAAGAATGAGATAAAGTTAAAATATAAAATATTTCAAATGTTTATGAAGTTATTAATACAAACAATTATTTTGCTCTCACCTTTGAAATTTTTATTAATAATATCTTGATGAGAGCTATGTGATTAAATATGCTTTACTATTTTTAGTCCTTTGTGAATAAAAGGCCTAATTTTAAATTCAGTTATGTTACTTGATTTTAATAGCTATCAGACATGGAAAAGTTACCTCTCAAAAATACCTTGATTAACCAAGAGAAGAACTTTACTGGTTCATCTTACAAAAGTATGATACTTGTTTTTCAACCCTATCCATCAATCAGATAAAATTTCCAATAAAAATTTGCTAGTAAATTTCTATCTTCCCTAATGTCAATTAGTTGTTCATACGACCTAATAAAACATGGAATCAAAATCCTATACAACAGTTTATTTGTCATTTTTAAAAGGTTAAAAATTGTTTCCAAATTAAGTATGTAGATATGAGAATTTTTAAAGGGGCATATTTATTGCATTTTTGGCAATAAAATTACATAACTGTTGGAGATTTTCCAAATATCCATTTTCAAAATTCTCTACCCATAGCATTAAATGTGGTTACTTCCTCACTTATTGTTAATGGGTCACATCTATCTGGATAATTTTACAATTTTTTGGCCAAATTATTTTATTCAGGGCTTTCTCTGGTGATGTAGCTGAAGCAGCACTTATACAAAAAGCTAAAAAAATTTCAGATCTGCCCTTTCCTGTTGTTCAATTAAGTTGGTATTATTTGGGAAATCTCCAGGCTTAGTCTCTTTGTAAAAAATCTTTTGAAATTACTTATATATGTAGGGAGATGTCTGGTTAAACCTAGATTAAATAAGATTTTGTATTCCGGTAATGGAGAACTAGGTAATTTAGACCAACTTTCCCACTGAGGACAATCAGCAAAACAAAAAAATTTTTACCTTTTTGTCTTTTTTCATGTCCAGCAACGGATCGCAACCCTCAGTGTCGTGCCCGTACCGGACCAGGACCAGCAACGGGATCGCAACCCTCGGTGTTGCGCCCGTACCTCGCTCAGCCAGTGGGTGGGAACCGGTCTGTATGTGGGATCCGAACCCTCGGCAGGAGCACCGCCGCGCTCCCAAGCAGCTCACTGTAGCAGTGCGCCACCGGCCGGCCCCCCCAAAATTTTTAAATCTGCTTGAAAGTACTAGAGAGCTAACAAGACAGTAAAGAATTACTGGGTTAGGATCTAGGGGAGGACAGAGACCAAGGGAGCTGAGTCTGGCATTTGGAACAGCTTTTTTATGGTTTATGCCAATTTCCAAATGAGAGACTGAAAGGATAAGAGCCTGAGCAAAAAGGCTGTTAAAAAGTGTCTCACAGAGCTAAGGCCAAATTTGATACCACCAAGCCAGAACAGGTAAACCTCTTTGCTTTTGGATGGGCCATTGAAGATGGTACCCCAAGAACAACAATGAACTAAAAGAAGGCCCTAGAAGCTCAGATTCACAGAGCCTGAAATTGGGTGAAAGTGATCCCATAGTGCTAGTGCCCCAAGTACTTAGCAGAAGTAAATATAAATTCACTCTGAAGAATAACACTATTCTAGAACTCTAAGTAGGTCTCAAATAATTTTTTAAACACAAATATGTGAACACAATAAAGAAGAAAAAAGAAAATCAAAGAGACAAGACCAAATGAATGAAAACCAAAAAAAAAAAAAAAAAAGGAGATAAATCACACAGGCTCAGATATTTGACATTTTAGACTTAAAAAAATAAAAAACTTTATTGACTTTAAAAAAATACTATACTCTGTTTAACAGGTTCAAAGAGATAAAAATCAACCTTGAGAATTTTGGCAGAAAACTAAACATTTTTTTTTAAAGACAGTCAATAAAAATACTAGAATTAAAAAATAATAACCAGTTAAGACACAATGGATGAATTTAACTGTTAATTACACATAGCTGAAGAGAATTTGTGACATGGAAGAAAATATCCAGAAGGAAGAATGGAAAGAAAGAGTAAAGGAAAAATTGGAAGAGAGTATAAGAGCCATAGAAAGGCACTTCCCGAACTTTTTTAACATCCAAAATGTCACAAAATAGTACTTTTGTAAAATGCAACTTAAATAAATTAGTAGAACAATGAAATAATAAAAAGACATGCCAAATATAACCCCAAATTTTTATTAGATTGAAAAGACATAAAATTACTCTGACAATTGCTATATAAGTTTCAAAATGCTTACTCTTAATTTTTGCACTTCTCTTTTTTCAGATCATGGCACTGACATAAAAGATCTATGAAAAGTTTTAGTATATGTTCAATTGAAGTCCTAGAGGTGAGGACAGAGATAATGGAACAGAAATACTATTTGAAGAGTAATTAGCTAAGATGTTTACGCAACTAATTAAATTTACCAATTGACATATTCAAGAAACTCAAAAATGGTTAAATAAAAACCACCTAGGCACTCTGCTAAAACCCATAAACAAAGAAAATACTTTACACACAACCAGAGGGGAAAAAATTGTCATCAATAGACTTACAGCTTATTCCTCAACAGCAACATTGGAAGCCAAAAGACAGTGGAATGATAGTTCCAAAGTGCTGAAAGAAAATAACTGCCAATCCTGAACTCTATTCCCAAAATATAGATATATATCAATAATGAAAGTAATGAGATATATTCAGACAAACCAAAACTAGGAGAATTCATCCCTAGCAGATCTGAGATATATATATATAGACTTCAGGCAGAAGGAAATTATGGCAGGTAGAAGATCTGAAATGCACAAAGGGAAGGATGAATATAAATGAATGTTGACTATATAAAACAATAAAAACAAGGTCTTGTAGAGAATCATATAAAAAATTAGAACACACTGAGAGATCATTAAGTCAACAGGAAAATAAATAGAAGTATAGTGTTTTAAAGTACATGCATTGCCCAGGAATAGGAAAATTAACCAATTAATTTTGTATTTTTTAATAAGTCAGGTATGTGTATTACAATATCCAGAGTAACCACTACTGGAATTTATAGGATTGGAATAATTTTTTTAAATTCTCAATCAATGCAAATGATATCAGGAAATGAAAATAATGAAACATAGAACAAGCACTACAAATTGAAAAGCTGAGCAAGATGGTAGATTTAACCCAAAAATATCAGAAATTAGATTACAGGTAAATATTAAAATCCCTGACTAAAAGACAAAGATTGTCATACTGAATTACATTTAATTGCATGTGCTGTTTACAAAATACAAGTCTAAAACATAAGAATTCTCCAACATGTAACAATAATGTCAAAGTAGACATCAATGCTAAAACCATTACTAAAGACAAAGAGTGACGTCATGATGATAAAAATTAAATTCATCAAGAAGATGTAACAATTCTAAATTTGTATGGGGCCGGCCCAGTGGCGCACTGCAATAGTGCGCCGCTTGGGAAGCGCGGTGGCGCTCCCGCCGAGGGTTCGGATCCCACATACAGACCGGTTCCCGCTCACTGGCTGAGCAAGGCGCGGGAGCAACACCGAGGGTTGCGATCCCGTTGCCGGTCCCGGTCCGGTATGGGGGCGACACTGAGGGTTGCGATCCATTGCCGGACACGGAAAAAGACAAAAATAAATAAATAAATAAATAAATAAATAAATAAATTTCCCTTTAAAAAATAATAACAGAACAACAAAAAAGAAACAGCACATTCTTGAATTCTGTGATTGGAATGCATAAATCCACCACCTTCCCAATATTTCGTTGATGCACAGTAAT